AATAAATACGACTTTAGTATTCTTCAATAACCTGCCTGACGTACAGACATTCAAAATTATTCAATTCAAAAATTTGTCACATAAATATTATAGATACTTTCATCAAACTTCAAGCAATTTCAAAGCTTCCAACCATTAGCGGAGGTCTACATCTACATGCATGTGCCGTGAATGAAAGTCCGTTCAATTGTTTTACAATTCGGAGAATTGCGTAATAAATAATTATCAATGTTCATATCGGTACTATTTAAAACTAAATGAATTTTATAAAATGCACGCCGTGCAAAAATACAAACAAATGTTTATTTTTTAATAATAGTTCTTTTATTGAATTCGTTTAATAATTGATTACTGTGTTTATTCTGCACTCTGCAGGGTTTTATTTTAAGGGTTTAAAGCAGTCTGATGCAGCCTGTGCAAGGTTTTACGCCTGATCCTCATAGCAACTTGTTCTTGCTTTCAACGGACAGCTTGTTCTTGCTTTCTCGATTCAGCATTTTCAGAGATTTAAGTGCATGACGCCAAATCAAAAAAAATTGCCAAGGGATTCTGTCATATCTTCAATTTGTAGTTATCGAACGAATATAGTTTCGTTCACTCAGTTTCTTTTTTCCCAATCAATTGTTTATGTCTGATACTTTGAATTTTAGTTGCTATTTTACTATTGGTCAGCAGTCATTATTCATTTCTAGTCATTTATAATTATCGGCATTTTAGTACATTTCTCGCAAATATAATGTAACGCCCTTCGGTTATGTATTAAAGTATCCATTCACCCATTTATTATTTTGTCGTCAATGATTCTCCGTTAAAATATATTATCAAAAAAAAACCTCACAAGCGTGAGTCGTACTCGTGCACGAAGTGTTCCGTACCATTATCCATAAAATTGCAAAAAAATGTTATTGTTTGTTGTTTTCAAAGAGTTTTTCGAAATTACTCGTGAATTTGTAAAGTTAACTTAAGTTTTCCTATTTAATTCGTTATATATTAAGATAAGTGCCGTAACTTATGAGTTTCTAACAACAACCGTTATTCTTAATACAAAATGCTTAAAAAATCCACTTAGTCCCTGGCACCCTGAGATGGGAATTGAACCCACGACCTTACGCAATCCGGGCGCCTGCGCTAACCACCGAGCTACCCAGGACCTAACAGGACTGACGAATCTTTCAAGCACTTGTTACTTTAACAACCGTTACTTGGTAGAGAGGAGGGGGGGACGACGACGACATTTGACTCAAATGAAAATTGCCATTTCGATGCGAACGAACTGTTAACTAAATCGAAAGACGGTCTTCCCACACCCTTACAATACAATTACAATACTTTAAAGACGCTAAGGGAAGATAAAAAAAATCCATCCTCAACTTTACATGTAGTGGAGGTACCCGAAAAAAAACTATCTTTTCAAGATTTTATTTTACCACTTTGTCGGTGTAGCTAAAGTGTATGCTCATGCTGAATTACACCTTTCTAATGCAAATATTTTTTAAACAAAACCGCTGAACGACAGACATCACAAAACTATAAGGTTTTCTTTTTCCTACGGTAGCGCAAAATTGAAAATGAAAACTACTTTGTTTGACAAAAATCTGAAAAACAATAAAGACAACAAACATTAAAAAAATCAAACCCTGTTTAAAAAATACAGTAGTGCCACCTACCGACATATTAGCTTAACTATATTATTTTAACATTTTATTTTTTCACCCGTTAAACAATTCCCCATTAAATGATGCTTAAGGAAAAATAGTAAAATTTAAAACTAGAGCCACTTTGTTTGATAGAAATTGGAAAAAAATACGACTATAAACATACAAAAATCAAAATCCAAATTTAAAATTTTCGTTCACTTAACATAAGATTGTTTCGATTTGACATAATCAAAAGATTATTTAATCTTGCGTAAAAAAACATCTTTTAATGGATTTCGAAAAGGATGAGATGAATATAAATTATAAATTCTAAGGAAAATAATTAAAATGACAAATTCAATTGTAAACAATTATTACAATAGTAACGTTTTAATGCCCTTTACAAACTTCCTCTCTCATTTTAATCATTTTATGTGGTTTTTTTGGTATAAGAGAGACATATGCTGCCGCGGACTTTGTTTTTTAATTTTTATAGGTGATCAATTTCGTAATTCATGTTTTTTGCGTAACTCACCGTTTACGCAGCGCACGCAAGGAAAGCCTTAAAAAATATTTTCCCATTTCTGCAACATTTTTCATTGCTGCCCCACTTCTATAAGTCATAGCGTGATGTTATATAGATATATAGCCTATAGCCTTCCTCGATAAATGGACTAATCAATATGTTCCTGAGAATATAGAGTTCAAACAAAATATTTAACTTTATTATTAGTATATATTATGAGAAAACTTCATTTTTACCAAAACTAGTATTCGCATAAATGTTAGTAGAAATGGCGAATGCACGATCTTAGTAATTAAGTAAGTAATTAAGTTTACACTTAATAGCAATTTTGTTCTTCACACTGCGGATGGAACAAAATTTTACTAATTTACAGCATCTCTTACAATCCACATAACTGTGAGGCTCTCGGTATTATAGTGTACCATCTCTGATGTCCCGGATTCAATTCCCAGTCAAGAAGTTTTCTATATTGTCTCGGTTTTTGGTGAGGTGTTACCTTCATAGTTTCAGATCCTTCTTAATACAATTCTTTAGTTGCTTTCCTTGAAATCTTGAGCAAAGTATGTGATTTGTTTAATATTTACTAATATTATTATTGCAATCAAATGAAAACAATTTTTTCATCTAATAAAAACACTTTTAATTACGTATATCAATAAATAAATGATGTATTCTAAGAATTACCTACCAAGTTTTTTTTTTCAAAATAATCTAAATTCAATATTTCGCATTTTGTTTTTAAATAGATTATTTTGTTTTCCTTTACATTCAAGAGATTTATGATCATAAAATACGCATTACAAACACGATACGTCTTGCAGGGGTTAAAAATAATTCTATTTAGCATAGACATCAATAAAAAAACTGTTGTTTAATATGCCATTAATCGTTTTTTAGGTGTTTTCTAATCCTTAACATATTTCATTTAAATTGTTATTATAAATATACTTAATGAATACGTAATTTTTAACATGATTAAGTGTCCAACAAAATTGTAATCAATAAAAAGTAAATTCGGATCATGTCGTGGTGAAATAAAAAAGTCAAACGATATAAGTCATTAATATGGAAATTTTGTCGCGAACTTCACCTCAGGTGGTAAACCGGATTGGGTAGCAACAGACAGGTTGTCACCTCAAGCTTTTGACCATTATTAATTTTATACCAACGACTTTCTGCGAGGTTTTCGTTGTAATATTTTATGACTTTCTTTGGGTGTAATCAAATTGTGTGCAATTTGAGCACGTTAGTTTCATCACTTATTTCTATTCTGCAGTCTCAGTTCATTTCCTGTATGGGTGAATATGATAAATATGTGTTCACTTATCTTGCTCAAAAAGTCAGTTATAATAGCTCACTAAAGCGAGTTAAAAAAAATACTATTTTATCCTCTATGATGTTTTTTATTTCCTTTCAATCACCATGGCGCCTAAAGAAACGCCTTAATTCATAAATAAAATATTTTCGGACAAGAGAATGGATTGGTTTATGGCCATTAAATTCTCTTGGGTTATGTCCACATTACTATTGAAATTATGATTAAAATCAATGGTAATCGCAATATTGCTTACCAGAATATTTTTGAACTATCCCCTAAAACTTTTTGAATATAAAGTGTGTGACTAACAAAAAAATCATTGCACCAAATATTTAGATTTTTCTGTGATAATTGCATCAAATTTGTAACAGTAACTTATTTTTATTTCAAAGTTAAAAGTAGATTGTAAAACCCATTATAATTCGGTTCAAATACATCGTAATAGTAATTTTAGATCTTTGTATAAACGTCTATTTTTTAGCCTATAATTTTGGTAGGGGTTAGGTACCTCTATTCGCTCCTTTAAATGTTTATAAGACAAGTCTTTAACCATCTACTGTAATAGCTTGAGAAATGTCAAACTTTTTTTAATTAACAAGTTTTTCTAATTAATTAAGTTAAAATAATCAATATCAAAATCGCCTGATTCGAATTTTATTTTCTTTAATCGGTGTCAGTTTCTAAAACCTGTAATTAGTATATAAAATTTCAGTATATTTGGAAAGATGATAAATTAACATATTTTTCTTTTTCAATATGTCAGTAAAAAGTAAGTTTTCTATTGATAATTATTTTTTGTTATGTATTTGATGTAGTTTTTAATCATATGTAAAATTTTTGGGTCGGCTTTTAAAATGTACAATTATTTCGAAAATAATACCACTGCAGCGTTACTTATAGAGTTCAATGATTTTCAGTTTTTAATTATTTTTTTACTTATAATATTTATTGTCGAATAAAATATTTCTAAATTTTTTCAAATGAATTAACATAACACAAGACCCTGAATATGAAACAATAAATATTAAAATGCCAGAATATACTTTGGGAAACCTTAACATGAAGTAGCGGCGACCGAAAAAACTGGTGATTGCATTTATTCTTTCCTTGTTTTTGTGCTGCCTATAATTTTGCTTAAAGACCACTTCCGTTCCGACCAATATCTGTCAACATATTTCCACGTTGGGCTCGAAAACATCACAAGAACTTGATTTCATTGACAGCCACAGGGTGGAGCATAATGAGTATTAAATTATAACTGCAGATAAAAAGTAATCGACTGGTAATAATTTAAGTTTTCGTTATATCGTAACTGAAGATACTACACGATTAAAGCAGAAGAACGGTATTTTGTCGTAAATATTTACACGTACAGAAATTTAAAAGGAATGTGAGAATTTTATAATTCAGTATAGCCTGAGTAGTGATAATCAGAAAAAAAGTTCTATGGATACATGTGCGGTTTGGAGAGACGGCAATGCGTGTACGCAACGGGCGACCGGCGTCGCACCGTCTCCATAGTAACGCGGCCGTGGGTACTTAAACGATTGTGCTGTGTCTGGCCCACACATACCGCTGAAACCTGTCGAGCGCGCTGCACGTAATGCTGCGGATCACAGGCGTTTTAGAATAAAGTTTGAAGTTTCGTAAATAAGTGCAAATTTTTTTAGTTGCGAATCTCAACTTAAACGTGTATCAATTTTCAGTTCCAAGTGTTGTGATAAGACTTTTGTATCAAGATGTTCTCCTTAGTGTTGTTTGCGATGGGAAGTATGCTCCTAGCAACTGCAGAGGGTTGTGGCGCTGGAAAACAAATGTTAAGTAAGTAGCAATAAAAAAATATTTTTTATAACAGAATTAATTTTAAGTCCGATTTTATATTTTATTTTTCAAAAAAGGATAAACATATTAAAATAACTTGCACATTTTTGTGGATTTTTTAATGATTCTAATTGTAAAAAATATTATACTAAAGCCTTTATTAAAAAAAATCGTAATCCCAACAGTAGATAATTTTAAGCCGCCATCTAGTCTACAAACTGCTCAGAAAATTGCTAATATTGATGCTCCAATTTGCATACTTGAATGGACCGAGATCGTAAAATTTTATTGACAAAGACACCTGTGTTAACACACACCAGTCTAATAAATCACATAAATCCAGTGGATGGAATCATTTCGCCTTGACACTTGATCTTATTTAATTTATAAATCATAGTATTATATATAAAATTATTTCAAATCAAGTAATTTACGGTTTCCTTTCGATAGAATCTGGAGGATTAACTGCGCTCGAGAAGCAAGCGATCGTTGATGCCCATAACAGGCTCAGACAATCAGTTGCTTTAGGGCAAGTTTCCAGTCAGCCTCCAGCAGCGAATATGATGGAAATGGTACGTATTATTTCCCCCTTTCTCTTAACAATTGCAGATTTTTTCATTAGCAACATTTTTAATGAGGTTATCAAAATATTCACTGGTTCCACACAAATGAATGGTTAATTAATTTTAAAAACATCAGTTTCAGACAGTCGTAAATCAAAGCCTAATTTAACTAATTAATAATACAAAAAAAAAACATACATAACAAGTTGTAGTTGTTGTGACATGGTTGTGATTTATCGAAGAAAAATAATCTATATCACAGCAAAATGAAATAATACAATTCTATGTTTCGTTTTAAAAACAACTCGTTTCAAAAGCCATATTTTTATCAATTTTTAATATCGTAATAGGTATGGGATGACGAATTAGCAGCCACTGCACAAAATTGGGCTAATCAATGCACTCCCGCACATGACCGCGCTGCTCAACGTGACGTCGGTCGTTTCCCTGTGGGTCAAAACCTTGCCGCTACTTGGACCACTCGTCCTCCATCCGGTCCCAGTGACTCGCAACCAGATTTCATGAAACAAATAAATGCTTGGTTCGATGAAGTCAAGATCTATGGATTTAAACCCATCAACGGTGGACACGGCACAGGACACTACTCACAGGTAATTTAAAACAAGACATAATGTAAATTTAGTGACGAACGATTTATCAGTGGATTTTCATATCACTTATTATAGAGTATTTAAATCAAGCCACGAGATTGTGGCATTTGTTTGATCCATAATATTATGGCAATAAGACATTTAAAATTTTGATTATATTTGAATAAATTTATAACATGTTTTATTTTGTTTAGTTGGTATGGGGCGAAACTTCTCAAGTTGGCTGCGGCTACACGTTCTACTATGACCCCTCAAGAGGTTACACCAAGCTGTACGTCTGCAATTACGGGCCTGGAGGCAATGTTATCGGCTCTAATCCTTATGAGAAGGGTTATCCATCCTGTAGCAGCTATGGTCTCTCCGAATCTAGAAAATACTCAGGGCTTTGTTGTAAGTACAAATTTAACTATCGCAGTTACATATTTTGTCTCAAATATTATGCCATTTAATGAATTTATAAATTATTTTTACGAATGGCGTGAGCACAATTTATTCAAGATATCAGATATTTCGAGATTTAAATATTTGTTACATAATTGTATTTACAGTATTTATCAGAAATAATAATTATTAATAATGTGTTGTTACAGCGGCTAGTTTTACGGCCTCATCGAGCTTCCAGACTGTCGACAACACGAACAGCTATATCTCGAATGTCATTCCCGAAAGTACCGGGGACTCTCAAGCTTACAACTACCAGTATAACAACCAATTCAGCAACCAATATTACAATCAGTATCAATACCAGTACCAACAACCAGAAACGTATCACACGTATCATACAGAAACCTCAACTTTTAGGCCGATCATTAGTATATTCAAAACTGCATCGAATATACTATCTAAATCTAAACCGCAAGTAAGATTCGGTTCATTTTATCTATAATATAATCCTCGTGAATTTGTAACATAAACAGTATTTTGTAAATTATAGTTGTGACAGTTGTGTTACTCGACTGATTATTCGATCCCGGTTAGGGCCGGCTATCGGAACGTTTTGTAGATAATTTTGTTATTGCTCTGTAATTTTATATTAAAATTACAATGCTGTCGTGAATGGCCTTCTAGTATTAGCAAAGAGTGTTGTTACTATAAAGACTTTATTTAAATGTTTAGAATAAAATTAAAGATATACCATTTCTCAAACATTTCTTTTATTTTAAATCATTCTTTAAATAATCTTAGATTTAGGATTTATTGATTAGAATCAATAAAGAATATTATTCACAACATCACTATGATACTTAAACTGACAATAGAACACGTGAGAAAGAAGTTTTAATTGCTATTTACAAACAATGAAGTAACATTATATCAAGTGCAAGATTCACTCACTTTTATCCGCAGCCTTTACCCGCACAAAAAATCATACCACAACGACGTTTCACTGCGATGGGATAGAAGGAAAAACAAACGCACTTTTCTTTATAAGATATTACAGTGTCTATTCATTAAACAAATAAACTTCTTATTGGAGGATTTCAGTATAATTATTATAGTTTGAACTTACACTAACAACCGGCTTAACACAGGTTCAATTTGAATTTCCTTTCGATTTCGAAAAATCGTGGTAAAAAATTAAAACCGTCACTAATTTTAATATTCCGCTGATAACTTGATTTTTTTTTTCTTTCTTTATTAACCTATTCATACCGAAGATAAACAAGATACAATATTTTTATGAACGTTGCTACTTATAACATCCCTACAATACCCGGAGGTTAATGAGCTCTTGTCAATATACATACCTACTTATTGTTACTACTAATATTATACTATATTATAACCACTAACTTTTTAAAGAATAATAAGGCGATAAAAAAGTAAATGTGTTCGTATAAGTCCCGTAAATTGCTAATGCGCTAGAACTTTTTCTAAATACCACCCACGTGACGTCATGTCTAAAATGAAAGTATAGAAAGCACAAAGAGCAAGATATAAACTATTTATTATAATGAATTCTTCGGTAAGAATCAATTTATCGTAAATATTGAGGTATATGGAAAGTAACAGATATAAAAAAATTGCTTTGTAATTACCAAAGTAATAAAGAATTGAGAGACATATATTTAATATTAATCAAATTATGTTTACTTAATGTGAAAATAATAATAGCAGTAGCTATTTTAGTCAACCAAAACAAATGATAACAAAAATTAACAACAACAATCGAAACCGACATAAACATAACAAAAATGATGTGTGATCTCAACACAACTGGACTCAATAAGTGTATTCGTCAACCATGGTTTATTTGTTAACGGTACTGATTTTTGAACGTAATTTCATCATCGAATTGACGGCCAGGCGAATTGGCAATATGCCGGGATTATACAGAAATATATATAGTATACATAAATATATAGATACATATATATAGTATAGATAGTATACCAATAGATATTAAACTATAGACAGTGAAATTGTGTAATTATCCCTTTATTTTGACGCTAGGAAATGCTATCTGCATACCAAACATACGCGGGTTGCCAGCGCGGCTAACCGGGGTTATGTGGGGCTCCCTCTTGCGGACCCGCCTCAGAGTGGAGCTAGTCAAAGAGCAGGGGTATACCCACTTAAACCCCGCGATGTCCCTCGCATGGAAGGCGATGCACGGAATCGGCCCAAAGGCCATACACCGCACGGTTGTGCGGTACTGTGAGTTCCAATTAATGTGGCGCATGATTTGCGCTGAGTAGATTAATTAATTCCAACGATGATCAACATAATTTTTAAGTTCAGCCTTTTGATTATAAATTTTAAGGTTAAGTAGATCTCTCCATAACAACCGCTCATTAAAACATCGTACCCTAAAAAAATCATAACAAAATAAAAGACTAGTCTACGTTTGATAATTTGTACTTTTGAATAAGACGGACATGGACGGTCGAAAAACAAAATTATTTTTTTTAAGGTACTGCATTTTGAGATTAAAATAATTACAGCAAATAAAATACTAATTAAAATTAACATTCAACTATTATGCAAATCTCCTCTCGATTCTATTGACAGAGTGCCCCATATACGCATACACATAGTTACTAACACAGTGTTAGTTCCCATAAATTATAACATTTATGTTAAGTGCGCAAATTGTTAGTTTCATTCACCTTTTAGTAAGTATTTGCCTAGTAGTTTACGTCAAGATCTGTCCAAAAATGAAATTAATAAAATTTTTAAGAAATACCAAATGGCAATTAGCATTTTCTATATGCTAGTTATAATTGTTATTGTAGATACCTGTTCAATTTACTGTTACTTTATTTTGTAAAAATATTTTTATTGGATCATTAAGATATAAATTTCGTCTGGTTCAACAAATAATAATTCAAAATTTTTTTTCTGCACTGATAGTTTGTGTACGAATAGTATTGGAAAACATCTATAATATAAAAGTCCATATTAAGTAAACTCATGATTATAATTAGTTGAGCATAAATATATGCCGTTATTTTATACACGAGCATAGCCTGTTAGTTGGAAATATACTATATACACATATACAATAAATTCCAGTGAGCTGCAGAATTAATACAAATAAATGAAATGTTGCCATGAACTTGTGACTTTGCAATTACGTAAGATGCTTGTTCAAACAATGTGGGAGGCGTCAAAACCAATACAAAACGATTTACACTCTGTATAGAAACAGCTTAATAATATATACATGAAACGCTACTATATTTCCATCTGTAGAAAAAAGATACATATCTCTCACGTGTTCCTAATAAATAAATTCAAAGCTGTATATATTCAATTAATCTAAGACTAATACATAGGCTTATAATTTTTTAATATTGTCTTCAATTTTATTTTATTTAGGATAAATTAAATAATATTGTACAATCCACTTCATTATCATCATCAGCCGTAAGACGCCCACTGCTGTGCATAGGCTTTCCCCATAGATCTCCACGACGATCGGTCCTGCGCTGCCCGCATCCAGCGGCTTCCCGCTTCCTCTCTATAAGATCGTCGGTCCACCTGGTTGGAGGTTGGAGCGTCGTCTGGTAGAGAACTTTTCCGCCTCAACGGCCATTAGTTCTTCTCGCTATGTGTCCCGACCACTGCCACTTTAGCTGAGCAATTCTTTAATTGTCCATTTCACTCAAACAATCCAATTAATTGTACAATATTATATGAAACATCTTATGTAAATGTACATCCAATTTTATAATTAATACATTGTCGTTGAAATTAATTAAAGGAAAATACTCCCAAAAATACTGACATGACTCTGTCAGTTTGTAAAAAATCTTCTAAATTAATTTGTAAAGAGGCAGCCAGCTTCAATAGTAACAGGTCGCCAGCATATATACATGAATGCATCAAAAGTATTTTTTAAACTAATTTTATACAGACCACAGAACATGGAGAGAGATCTGTGATACAGACAAAATATATATTTGTTGTTTGGCTCAATTTTTAAAATTGCACTCAAGGGAGAAAGCTACGTCATATGCGGGTAATATAAGCTTTTTTTTAATTTTTACCCAATTTAATTTCCAATACTCACAATATAACAAATTTAGCGCTCCTATGTCATTTTATACATATAAAAAGGCCTCTTAGATACTATTGTTCATGATAGCATTTCACTCGTTTTTTGTTCCTCTTTTTATAATATATTTTTTTAATAAATATCATTACTCTAAAATTAATCTTATCTAAATACTTACCCAAAACGTTATATTTTTTTATTTTGTATCTGGCGAGGCGGCGTTGGTATATATATCCAAGATTTCACGCAATTAGAAAGAAGAGATACAATTTAAACTGCTTCACCAACATATTAATTTTAGTAACAAATAAAATAACACAAAAAAATTATAAAATGAGGTAAATAAGAAACGTCATGTAATTTTTTTAATGTTAAGTTAAAAGTTGCCCTTTTACACAATTAACACGAGTAAAATAATGAAGTTATCTGAGAGTATCATAAATTTAGTAATTGACTACTTCCGACCAATCCCAAAAACCAACTTAGAAACGTTCAAATATTTATATAGACTATAGTTACTAATCACGATTCAAGGATGTTATCTAACTTAATAAATTAACTTTGACATATTATTTAAACTTTTATTGACGGGATCTCGCAGGTCCAAGATCATATACGAGCTGAAGGTTAAAGCGCTTATAGGTCAATGAAAAGTATTCCATCATCGTCCTATGATTGTCTTCACCGCTGGGGCATAGGCTTTCCTTACGGATTGGATCGATGTAACCTTCGACATGGGCTCATTGTGGAGTTAGTAGGTGTTGAAGATTGCAGATCTTCAGGACCGACGGCTATACGTGCCTCCCGTAACATAAAGAAGTTCAAGATAATAAATTTTAGTCACCATTGCTATAACCGTTCATCCCAAAATTTGTTTGTTATTTATTTTTATATAATTGATTTTTTTCTTATTCAGCGATCGATTTCATTATAACTCTAGAAACATCAATGAAATCAAGACATTTCGACCTACCCACGACTGGCAAGAAGTACGTATGAATGGATTTAATGATCAATTGCGTGATAGAATATATACAGCCAGTTGCACAAATGTCCATTAAAATTTACATTAGTTTAAAACGACATTACCCATACAAATTTGACATTCAATTGAGCTTAAAGTCGTTATTAAAGCTTAATGGACGTTTGTGCAACTGGCCGATAGATTCTTAAAGTTAACGAGTTTATTTCTCTTGAAGAATTTCGTATAATCATTTTTATTAGATTATCTTGTAGAACTTGATCAATCCTTTCGTAAGTCTAGCAGTTCTTAGGAATTCAGAAGAGAGAGAGAGGGGAAATAGAATGAAATCATATGTTATACAAAATAATGTGTAATACAAGTGAGAGTCGGCCTCGTGCATAAAAGGTTCTGGACTGGAAACGAGCAAAAAAGTCACGATTCTTATATAGGAGCCCCCCATAAATATTTGTTTAATTTTAATTTCATGATTTATTTTTTAAGTTACTATATTAATACATATTCTGTAAATATTTAAACTAATACATATTTGTTGTCGTTATCAATATCGAGCAAAAAAAAAAATCTGGTCGTTGTATGGGAGCTACCTTTAATATTTATTTTATTCTGGTTATTAGTATTTGGCGTTGAAGCGGCAACAGAAATACATCGCATATGAAA